GAAAAAAAAAAAAAAAAAAAAAAAAAAAAGTCTAGGTAAACTCTGATGAGTGATGTTGATAATGAGGGAGGCTATGCACGTGTGAGGGCAAAGAGTATATGAGAAATCTCTGTATCTTCCTCTGCATTTTGCTGTGAACCTAAAATGCTCTTAAAAAAAAAAGTCTTAAAAAATTAAAAAGAAACAGTCTAGGTAAGCATTAAGACATTATTATGACAAGCTCTGTCAATGTTTAACCTGATTTTTTTTTTTCTTAAGCAAAAAAAATGTTTATTTGGGTCAAAGAATGCGATTTGGGGCACACAGATTTGGGTAGCTTCCCAAACAGTGTCCTGCTAGGGAGTAAAAGGGGCTTTTAAAGGCAAAGAAGGGAGGTTTGCATTACAAAGAATTTTGTAATTTTCAAGTTGGAGGCAGAAGCTAGTCTTGGCTAAACATGGTTGAATACTAGGGCTGTTACTAGAGGGAGGGAAAAGTTCGTTAATGTGACAAGTTGCAGGTGTTCTTGCAGAGTCCATGGAGTATTGGTGGTTTGGCCCAATTCAGAAGTTCATGGTTCCCGCTGGTGAGGACGTGCATAAGGTTCACCTCCTTAATGGCCTCCCAGCTCCATTTTAAAACCCCTTGACGTAAGTGACTCCATTTTATTTCACAGTCCTTTCTCCTGATTCTCTTGGAATCTGTCATCCTCCCCCTACATGACAAGGTTAAGTCTGTGATCTGAGACTCCCCACCAATTGGTTAGTAAATATTTCCATTTTCAGCTGCATTGGTGTTTGTTTCAATTGTCATTTTCTTTGTTGTCTCTTCTCTCCAGATGTGGCTTTTGCCTCAATATTAAAACAATTCCAGCCTTCAGGAAACAGGTGGATAGATATTTGTAGAGTGAAAGTGTTCCTAAAAATCTCAGATAATCCCTCGTTTCCTGCCAGAGGCTGCTCTAGCCCGTTCTAAAGGGTTATAGCTGGACCTCTTGGCAGTTGGCAAAAGGGGAATAGTTTGTATTACTTGTCATCAGCTTTATACAGGAAATGAAGTTTGTCTTAGGTCTACCAGCAAGGCAGCTCTGCTCTTTGTCTGTTCTCTCTTGCCTTATGTGATGTGTTAAAATACATCCACAAATTCTTTGACTCGTTCTTCAGAAAGTAGAGCCTAATTCCTCTCCCCTCAGGTGTGGCATTGACTAAATGTCTTGCTTCTAATAAATCATGTAAGGTGGAGGTGATAATATATGACTTCTGAGACCACATCATAAAAGGCATTGTGGCTTTTGCCTTGCTCACACTTGGATCACTCACTGTAGAGAAAGCCAGCTGTCATGTCATAAGGGCACCCAAGCAACTCTATGAACAGGTTCATGTAGCAAGGGACTGAGGCCTCCTGCCAATAGCCAGCATCAACTTGTCCACCATATGAGCCATTTTGGAAGCAGATCCTTCAGCCCCAGTCAAGCTTTCAGATAACTGTAGCCCAGCCAATACCATGACAGCAGTCTCATGAGAGACTCTGAACCAGAGCCAGTCCCCTAAGTTGCTCCCAATTTTTTTACCCACAGAAACTGCAAGATAAATGTTTGTTGTCTTAAACTGCTGATTTTTAGGGTAATTTGTTATGTAGCAATAGATACCTAACACACTTTCCTTGGTTGAACCCCTATCTGGGCATCTTCACATCTTCACTTACTTCTAAATAACTCCTTCTCACACTTACTCACTCAAGGCGCCTAAGAACATATCTGGTTTTTTCCATCACCTTTGAATACCTCATATTTAAGGTAATATTTGTATCACAAACTCCCTTATGTCATGCCTTGGATTGATTTTGCTATGATCAATGTTATATTTTCTTCAGGTATTAAAGCTTTAAACAATAAAGCATGTTGTTGGAAATCTTTATCATTCTTCACAGAAAAATTCCTGTAATTTTTGGGTAGTTTAAATGTATTATGTCTATTCTACATTCTCCTTCTGGACATTAGGAGCTTATAGACATGACTTCATTCTGATAAAGCCCCTTAGACATGCAGGAGTGTCATCCTCCTACTTTGTTTAACCTGATTTTTAATCCTAAAGGTGGTATCAGGTCCTCCAAAAAACTATATTATATATGATCATGTGTATTTTAGTTGATTCTTTGCCTCTTGAGACTATGACACACTGAGATTTTACCTCCCTTTTCCTTTTTCTTCGTTAATCTCTTTTCCCATCTTATGTGATTATAAATAGAATTCAAGCATATTTTAATGAATACAGCTCAATGTTCCCCACATCACAAGTGGCCCTTTCTAATTAAAAAAAAAATTATATCAAGTCATTTCTTCTTTTTAATGGTCCTCTATTAAGGATTTCTTAGGGGCTCCTCCTTTACCATCTTTCCCCCCCAAAGGATGTAGCCTCCACACTGCCCCACACCATCTTGGCCTGGCATTGCTTTGGGAAATAGTGCAGAACTCTATGTGGCCAAAACCCTGAAGGTCCTAGATCCTTATTTCTTATTTCTTAATTTATTTATTTATTGTCTATTTTTGGCTGCGTTGGGTCTTCATTGCTGCGCACAGGCTTTCTCTAGTTGTAGCGAGCGGGGGCTACTCTTCGTTGAGGTGTGCGGGCTTCTCATTGTGGTGGCTTCTCTTGTTGCGGAACACAGGCTCTAGGCGTGTGGGCTTCAGTAGTTGTGGCACACGGGCTCAGCAGTTGTGGCTCACGGGCTTAGCTGCTCCGCGGCATATGGGATCTTCCCAGACCAGGGCTCGAACCCGTGTCCCCTGCATTGGCAGGCAGATTCTTAACCACTGCACCACCAGGGAAGTCGCGATCCTTATTTCTTTTTACAGCTGACCTTTGAGCTTGTGTTCTGTTTTAGCACTTTTCTCGCTTGTTGAGATGAAATCAAGAGGAGGTGAAGACTAATACAAACAGGAGGGAATTCCCTGCTGAGGGGATTAAGAGAGTCTTCTTATATAGACTCAAGCCAGAAGAACTGCTACACTTTCAAGGACCCTCCATAGAGAATCTGCCACTTTAGCGTCACCTTGATGTTTTTTCTCTGTTATTGACATTTATGGTCCATCTTCACCAGGTTCTTGGTCCGATGATGTGGCTTAATAGCAGAAAATTCAGTAACTATTTTTAAATGCCCAAACCCTCTCAGCCTACACCCTAACTCCTTTACCCCCCGTGGGAAAATAGAAGCCTCCTTATTGCAGTTAGGCTGAAAGAAATGGCAGTCCTGGAGGTTCAGAGAGGGGCCTGGTCTGGAATATGTGCACTTCCAGTAGGGCCATCCCATTGGGCCAGAATTATAGCTCCTCCACCTCTTGTAACTCGACCTCTAATTAGCCTAAGACATTAAGCAGTTCGGCCTTTAAGAACAGAGGGGAATGGTCGCATCACTGTTTACCATGGGCTCCGTTAGCTGATCAGTAGCATTTATCCCTTTGTATTTATTGCCCTTTAAACGTTCAGAACCACACCCCCAAGTGCAATCCCACGGGAACGCTGCAAAGGAGCAGCTCAATCCCCCAGCCTCCGCTGAACACTTGTAGTGCAGGAACGAAGCTCTGCTCCTCTTCCTGTTTTCTTTGGCATTTGGGGTAGCACCTCAGGGCAACGTAATGCAACACTGTGATGATGTCCCAGGCTATCCTCAGTGAGTCTCTGATGGCCACAATGCCCTACGCGTTATAATGCCAGTCACCCCTTGATTTGTGGCCAAATAGAAGAGTGACCCTGGACCCGGATCCCCAGGCTCCAAGCACAACCCATGCCCGAAAGGAAAGATGGGATGGGAAAAACTTATGCAAGCAGCATAGCATATGAAGAAAACGGAAAAGCTGGGGGAGCACTTAGCCTTGTATGATATGGCAGTGGGATGTCAGCCACACAAGCTGGTGGGATCTTAATCTGTGCAAACAGAAGGGCGATGTCTAGAAAAGGGGCATGTGTGTCCCACTGTGCCCCCCTGGGAGCACTCACTGCTTTCTGAGCAGCATCACTCAGTAAAAGACATGGAAACAAACTCAGCAAGTTCAGGAGAGGAAGGGAAGCGGGACACTGGGGATGAGCTGCAGCGTGGCCGGAGTGGCCGTACCTTCCTGTGCTGCCAGCAGGGCTGGGGTGGGTGTGTAGAGTGAGACGGCCCCCTCCACCTCACCCCTTGTGCTCTGATCTTGTCTGCACACCAGCCAAGTGGAAGGGTGCCAGACCACCCACCGCCGGGAATCCTCTGCCAGCCGGGCCGCCCCACTCACCTCGGCAGCAAAGTGCTTCCCGCCCACAGTGTGCTCCGAGCCGTGAGGTTCATTCTCGTCCCCCCAGTGCAGGTGCAGCTGCGAGGCATTGTAGCGGGCCCCAAGGCCCTGGATGTGCATGTCCTTGGGCAGTTTCAGTTTCACTGCAGGGAGAGGAGGGGCAGTCTTCAGAGCCCTGGCCAGCTGAGTACTGCCTGAGAGCAGGTAGGCATCACCTGCCCAGGGCCTAGACAGGGGCGAGTGGATACAGCGAGGTGGGGACCAGAGAGATGCAGCCTGTAGGTCAGAAACCTGGGCTCTTTCTCTGAGAATGTCCCCCTTTCACTAAAGCTATTCCAGTGGCACAAGCACCTTCTTGGTTCCCCTTGGAAAATGATGTCAGGAACTAATTTAGACCAATGGATGAACGTTTGTTTATATATCCATGTATTACACACTTGGCTATGAAGATAGAACCTGTCGTGAGGTATCTGCCAAGCTGTAGAATTATATAACAACAACAACAATAATAATCGCTCTTTATTAAGCACTTCTCTATTCTGGATATTAACGTACATAACCTCTAGTCTTTACAGTACACATCAATATGCCCATTTTCCAGATGAAACCTCAAGGAGTTTAAAATTCTCATCCAGAGTCTCATGACTCATAAGTAGTCAAGCCACGATTCAAATTCGGGTTGGTCTGACTCCAAAGACTGGGCAAGGCCCCCAGTAAACTGTGTGGCCCCTTGAGTTGTTCACGGTGCCCCAGAATTCACTCCCGCACCATATCCAATAGGCCAAGGGGCTCAGGCCTGTCCCCTCTCCCATCCCAAGAGATATGCCGCTTCTGAGAGGCACCACCCCGGCAGAACCAGCCGAGCCCAGGACCTGCAGCATCCCCTGGAGAGAGTGGTCCAAGCATCCCTCAAGGCTCCCCTTTGCCCTCCTTCCTGGGTGCCTCAGTAGAACCCACCCTACCCCCTGCCCCGGCAGACAGAAGAGGCCAGGGAGCTGAGGAAAGCTCAGACACCCCTTCAGGTCTTGGAGGTCGCTCCCTCACCTGAATGGCCATTGTTGGTCAGGACAAATTGCTGGTTGGCAGACTCACTGTAGCCTTGGAAGCCAAGGGGCACAAGGCTGGCGTTGTACTGGAGGATGTCATCCTGCAGGTCTATTGGGGACTGCATCAGGCCCCCACATGATGGGTAGCTCTTGGACCAGCTCTTCTCCCCGTGGGGACCTGGAAGGAGAGATTCAGGTCCATGACTTAATCCGTTTTCCACTAAAGATTTTTCCTCACCTTCTAATTCTGTGTGCAATACAATCACTTCTTTTCTATTCCTTTCTTAATCCCTAGAGGTATACTCTTAAGGCCCAGAGACCCCAGCCTACAGAACCAGGTCATACAAATGGCTCCAGACCATTTGCTTCTGAAGTGATGTGGGGAAAGAGGGACCAGAGCAGCCCCGTGGCAGGGACTCTGCAGTATTCTGTCCGTTGTTCATATTTCGACCCGATGCACGTCCATTCCACGTGAAGACCTTGTGACTCTCAGCAACTTAGCATCTGTGCATTGAACGCCTCCTATGAGCAGGAATTGCTCTGGGTCTTGGGGCTGCCCAAGCTTACATTCTAGTGGGGAAGATTTTTTTTTTTATTTTATAATTTTTTTGTGTTTTTAGAAGCTAAGGACATTTGTTGTTGCTCAAGTTCAGTTTAAAACCTATGGCTCTCTTTCCTTTGGTACTTTTTAAAAATTGAAGTATAGTTGCTGTACAATATTATATGTTACAGGTGTACAATATAGTGAGTTATTTTAAAATATGGACTGTATTCCCCATGTTGTACAATATATCCTTGTAGCTTATTTTAGACCTAATAGTTTGTACCTCTTACTCCACTACCCCTATATTGCCCCTCCACCCTTCCCTCTCCTAGTGGGGAAGAATTTATTTAATCCACTGGGATGTCCCCCGTTGGAAAAATTGGAGTCTGTCTCCAACTCCAGGTAGGTCTTTGAGGTTGGTGATTTACAGGTATGATCTTCTTGATAGGAAACCCTTGAGGACCTTGACTCTGAATACCCACATCTAGAGCAAGTAAAAACCCCCAACCTGATAGGGAAGCTTGGAAAATATCAAGTAATTATAAGCCCGGAATCACGGAGCTAAATGCAATGTTTACGCTGGGGAAAAGTATGACAATATTACAAACTAATTATTACAATATAACTGACAAACTAGCAGTGAGGAGGAGCAAACTTATCAAATAAACCCTCCAGGGCTCAGGCTTCTTGCTAACTACCAGGTAATAGTCCTTCCCCTGGAAATGAAAATAAACAATCCAATCCCACGTTCACTTTCTTACTCCCACAAGGAAAAGTCTTTCAGGGATGTAAGGCTATGTTTAAAAGATTATCTCCCATGGTAATTAAGTGGATTTTCAAGCTGAGGTTTCTCCAGAAAAGTAAATAATTGGCAGGTCACGGCTCGTTAGAGTAGAACCATGGTGCCCTGTGGGCTCTCTAGGAGTTGGGAACCAAGGTTTGCCACCTGGAGTTCATTCATCAGTATTTCAGCACACGGAAAGGTGTCACCTAGAGCAGAAGGGGAAGGAATACCACGTCTTCTGGGCACCCTTGCCATAGACCACGGCACCATTTCACAGGAGCACGTGTGTGTACACCGGCCTCACAGAATCCCCATCCCCTACACCTTGTTCTCTAACTAGGGGACCTCACCTGAGAGTAGGGAGAGTCAGAAGCAAAACTTGGTGCCCACATTCATTTGAAATGCTATGACGAGTTGGTCCTAGGTCTGGACACACACAGGAGAACCCTCTAATATTTCAGGCTGTCAGCCTTCAGGTATACCTTTTCAGAAATGTTGGAGCTGGAAGGGATTTCAGACTCTCCAGCCCAGCCTCTCACTGGACACCAGTTTTCCCAACCCTCACATGTCAGAGTTTCCACTGAACTGTATTGTTTTTCTTCCCACGGCCTCAAAGCCCTGGACTCAAGGCAACTAAACTACACCAAGATGGCGACTGTCGGAGAGGCAGGCTGGAGGACACCAAGGCAGTCACTCCAGGGGGCAGACTGGATTAGGGCAGTTACTCAGCTGGGGGCAAAACCGAATCCCTTAGAGACCACAGGGTTCAGAGATGAAGCAGTCAAGAGGTATCATGCCAGCCCTGAGGGTCAGGAAGCAGCGCAGCTCCTAGGTGGCAGCCCTTCAAGAGTGAGGCTGCCAGCCTTTTCTCTCTCACAACGGCATCTGGGCCCACAGCCAGGGTGGCAGAAGCTGCCAGACAGGCATGAATGGAAAAACTCAGGACATGAAGAGGTGTGGCAAAGAGATCTCCCCTTGAACACATAGCTAAAGGGAACTGAGTAAGAAGGGCTTTCTTTTCCCAGAGCCAGAGCTCCCCTGAAGGTTTCATGAAGAGGGGACTGGGCCATCCCATTTCATCTCTGTGAACCCATGTCGTGCTTAGGATCACATGCATAACAGGCACTGAGTAAACATCTTCCCCAAAGAATGAAAGACCCCCAAAGAACAGAGAGCTTGGGGAAAGGTTATGAGGAGGAATTTTCCTTTTGCCCTAAACACTTTCGTGGAAGTTGGCCAAATTAGGTATTTGGGAGCAGAAAAGACTAAGGATATAAAAGGCAACAGAGGGCTTCCCTGGTGGCGCAGTGGTTGAGAGTCTGCCTGCCGGCGCAGGGGACACGGGTTCGAGCCCTGGTCCGGGAGGATCCCACGTGCTGCGGAGCAGCTGGGCCCGTGAGCCACAACTACTGAGCCTGCGCGTCTGGAGCCTGTGCTCTGCAACAAGAGAGGCCGCAACAGTGAGAGGCCTGCGCACCGCGATGAAGAGTGGCCCCCACTCACCGCAACTAGAGGAAGCCCTCGCACAGAAACGTAGACCCAACACAGCAAAAATAAATACATAAATAAAATTAAAAAAAAAAAAAAAGGCAACAGAGTCAGTGGTGGCAAAACCTTCCTAGGAAAGAGAAGCAGCTGTATTGGACCCGGAGACTCCAGCTTTCCAGCACCAGCCGTCCCCTGCCCTCCACCTCCGTGAGTGACCTCAAGCCAGTCACCTTCCCTGCCTTCGTCTCCTTTGCCCTTTGTACAAATGGGAGGGGTGGACACTATGTTCTGGAAGGTCCCTTCTGACTCTCAAGCTCTGAGATTTCTTAAGATTACTAGGACTAAGCACCTTCACCTCTGTATCAGGCCGGTTGGAACGGGTTGGAGAGAACTGCTCATCCAAAGGCAGTTCCTGGGCATGTGACGAGGTGCCCAGTGGGAACCAGCTGTGGGAACGAGGGCACAGGGCGCTGCTGCTCCTGGGGCTGGCGGGAGAGTGGGCAGTCCTGCCGGTTTGGGCTGCTGACCACTGGAAGTACTCGTCCTGAGTGCCCATCACAGGCCCTTTGGGCAGCAGGATCTAGGAAGCCTCTACTATCCCTCCTCCTCCTCATGATGGTGATGGTGACGATGGTGATGTTAGTAGTTTTGGTCCTTACACCTCTACAACTCCATGGGGTCAACAAGGCAAGAATTGCCCCATTCTGTAGACGAAAAATTGAGATGAAGTGATTTGCCCAAAGACAGACTTTGGCTTAGTAACAGAGTTACCTTGCCTGGGTCACAGGACCTCCATGCCTTCTATTTCATTATTTATCCAGGAGATTTCGTGCACACTCGTATCCTCCTTCTCCCATGACCTCCTTGAAGGCAGGGACCATGTCTCATTCACCCCTGCCTTGTCCACAATGCCTGGCATAGAGCAGGCCCTCACATGTTTCCTGAGCTGGATTCTCTTACTAATTTTCTGCTTGTTCCTCTCCAGGGAAGCATGCACCTATATTAAACCCCCTAGTTTCTCTCTATTCCCCGACATAATTTTCTTTTTCCTATAAAAAGTAAAGAAAAATGATGTTACTTGCTCAGGTTCAAAAGTTACCCTCCTAGCTTTCTAGTGTACCTGCGTGAGGTTTTGTTCTGTTTGGGGCCACTCATTGAAAAAGAAATCCGGTTGCTGGCCGGTAGCCTGGGAGACGATCTGCTGAGTATGGAGTTTCATTGCAGTTCACGGGACTCTCTGCCAGCGTGTGATGGCTGTGTCCCCTGCTTACATGGCTAGAGACGTTGTCAGAGCAGCCTCTGATCTCTGTGGCTTGTGAGTGAGAGAGCGAGGTGCCATGTGGCTGGGCACCAGGACACCCAGTATCAGGCACGTAGGCAGCAGGCTCCCTTCTGCCCTGCAGCCTCTGTGTGAGCAACGTCATTGCTGATCTAACACTGCACTTTCTTTTCGCTGGCAGCTACTGCCCAGGCTGTAATTTTTCAACTTGTTCTCAGCTTTCACACTCATGCCAAGCACTCTGCTGCCAGAAAACCTCTCCTGGGACTGACTCTTCCAAAAGAAGCATTTGTTTCCAGCTACCATCAAAATGTGACTTTTCTCTCGGGCTGTGACTTTGCTTCTTCCGTGGATTAGATTCCTCGCGTGATCATGATAAAGGAGATCATGTGTATCTCCCAGTTTGTTTTTCCAACTAAAATCAAGGCATTATTTCTTTCCAGTTCATGAATTTTTCTGTTTGAGGCAAAACAGAAGTGGACCAAATTTCTGTTTTGAATTGTAACAAGAGATGAACATGGCACAGCTCAAAATGCCTCTCGTGCTTTCCAGCTGGGCATTACTGAGGCCCAGAGTACAAGACTTGCATTACCCGAGGACCAGAATTTCTTTCAGGGAAAATGTCAAATGCGTGCAACTGTAGAGGGAGGAGCAAAATGAACCCCATATCCCCGAGCTTCAACAACTAACAATCCACGGCCTGTCCACCTTCATCTCTACCACACCTGCTCTCCCCTATCCCTGGATAATTTTGAAACAAATCCAAATATATTTCATCTGTGCATATTTCAGTATGTCTCTAAAACATAAGGCTCTTAGAAAGAAAGTACAATACCCTTACCACACTTAAAAGGTTAACAATTCCTTAATATTATTAAATCCAGTCAGAATTCAAAATTTTCCAATTATCTCATATCTTTTTAAAACATTTCTTTTTACAAACAATAAATGCTGGAGAGGGTGTGGAGAAAAGGGAACCCTCTTGCACTGCTGGTGGGAATGTAAGTTGATGTAGCCTCTATGGAGAACAGTATGGAGGTTCCTTAAAAAACTAAAAATAGAACTACCATATGACCCAGTGAT